TCAGCTCAGTCTGAGCCCGTCTGTACATAGCTACAGCTCAGCTCCAACCCTGCTGAGACTGGAGATGTAACTATCCAATATGTTCAAGCCATGCTTCCCGGCTCCTCGCTTCTCACAGTTGTTGATCTTCTTGATCGACTTACATTTGTCTCCTGACCCCGCCACATTTTTAAAGTATTTTATACTTGTTGCACATTTATAAATGTACTTTAAGCCAGGGATACTCAACCTGATTTGCCCAGTTAACAGTAAACACAAAAACACCAATCATATTTATCAGATGTACAGTAATGGATCATATACTTAACTTGATACCTTGGGGAAAACATCATTTTAATATACATGAAAAGGTCCATCTTTCAATTAAGTAGTTTATTTGATTTGAGGACATTCATGGCGTAGCCTGGACATCAGTCAGGTGGCCAAGGGATCCTCCCTTGGCAATTTATTTGATTGATAATTAAGCTTATTTGGCAATTGCAGCTTTAAATACACCCATAATTGCGCTCCTGTGAGTGTGATGCCACTGTGCTTTTTGTACAATGTGTATGTTTTTGTGTTATGTGTGTAACAGATGGAAAGACAGAATAAGAAGTGGGGGATAGAGTGGTAGTTTGAGTACATGTCTGTATATCTAAAAGGGTGATAGTGGAGAAACTGTGTGAGTCAGGCGTGAGTCTATTTTCGTCTGAGTCTTCTACGATTCAGAGTAAATGTCTGGCAGCGTGTGTGTGTGTGTGTGTGTGTGTGTGTGTGTGTGTGTGTGTGTGTGTGTGTGTGTGTGTGTGTGTGTGTGTGTGTGTGTGTGTGTGTGTGTTGGTAGTGCACGTGTCAATTAAGGTCTGCCTATGTGCACGTTACAGCAGCCCAGGATGTCTTCCCAGTTTTGTTTATGCTAGACTGGCTGGCCTACCAAGAGCCCCAGAGCGGTCACATGATCGTGTCAGCCAGTCACAGGGGAGCCTGCGACAGAGCCGCACAGATTAGGCGCCACGCTGCCTTCTGCCTGCCTGCCTGTGTGTGTTTGTCTTAATTGTTACATGACTGCATACTTATTGCCTCGCTGATATTTCCCCCACTCTGAGTCTGTGTTGTTCCCCGCTCACAGAAGGTCTCAGGTCTGTGAAGTCTGTGTAGAGTGTGTGTGCTTATGCAACCATCAAACTGCGTTCTAAAGGTAATCTCCTCTGAGATGTTCAAGTTGTTCACAACAACTTCATTTTGTCTACCTCACATTGTTGCAATCATTTTAGTGCAAAATCTTATGAAGCATTTGAAAGAGGCATCATTTTGTTTGGACCAGTGTAGCGGCCTTTTAGACTAATCTAATAATGTGACATCCATCGTGTCGGATGGAAGAAGACACGATGGATGGATGGGTAAACAAGACATAGAACTTTCACTCTATGGGACCTTGTCTTTGTACCGGGTGAAACCAGAAATAAATGTGTGTATTAAAAAGAAAGGTTAAATAATGTAACAAATGTACTTATTTTGACACAGACAATTATGTTATTTTTGTTTACTTAACCTAAGTGTTGTTGCGGTTTTGTTAACCAAATGAAACATCAACTGTAATCTGAGAGAAAATGTTCCTTTCCAAGCATTATTGAGAATACAATTGAGTTTTATGGTAATATATGATAGGATAAATTACCTTAATACACAAAATTAGTCACTAATAGTTAAAAATGTAAGGAAGGCTAGTGTTACATGTTATGGGGTATAAAATGACAATGCATGCTGATACAACCAATCTTTTTCTTAAACAACTTAACATAGATATTGTTGTATACTTCTAACACTGAGTGACTTAACTTGTTCCTTGTCCCTACTCTACATTAGGTTTAAGCATGTCCCACATAAACATTGAAATGATTTTGTCAGAAGTAAACACAATATACCTCGCAAGGAAACTGATTGTTGTTCCATCCTTGTGGTTCAGTTTGACTGACTCAGTCAGGTCACTAAATAAAAATGTTGTTATGTTGACGGGTTGAAATGTAAGAAAATTGAGAGAAAATCGTGGCTCAATTATCCAGTAATTACCACTTGTGGCCACATGGCTCGCTTCAATTAACGTAACCAATATACATTTCCATGGAACACAGCTTGAATTATCGTTGAGTCAACCTGCTTTCTTGGAATACGATGGTGGAATTAAATTACTGCAATTAATGGTAAAATGAAACGTGAGCCTTCTGAATACTATTATTACATTATAATGAGCTCCATTAGCCTTTAGTAGAAGCAGGAGCAGCAACAAGTGCAACCAATGGATAAAAAGAGAACTGGATACAGCATTGGAGGATGGGTCCCGTTACTTCCAATGAAAGTTGTTCAGTGTCACATGAAGCCATTGTGTTTTCCTCAAGCCCCGCCTCCAATCCACTCCATCATGGTAGTGTTGTGGCCGGTTTCGGCTCAGTCAACTGAATAGATAAGGGAATATAACTTTAAAATGAGGGCTATTTCTAAGTCTTCATACTGAAAAAAAGAAAAGTGATCCACTTATTTATATTGTTTCTTTACCAATGTCAATGAAAAACAACTCTTTGGGCCCAGCGACATAACATGACTGAAATGGAAATTGATTTCCACCGTTTGGCCACTAACGAAAAAATGTGTTTCCATGACGGCTCCCTGTCTGGGGATTTGGTGCAAACCATTGTGTTGTTTTTCCCTGTGTGCTGCCTGTCAGGCAGCAGCCTCCTACACAGGTGTTGATCGCTGGCCTCTCTCTCTTTACAGTGAGCCAACCAGTGCTAATGAACACTCTGCACCATGACTGTTGGCTCCACCGACCAGGCACCTAACTAACTGAGTAATCACAGCTTTCTGCTTCCAGTAGGCAGCAGAAAGACATGTTAAAGCCTCGCCCGGAGCCAGGCAGGTAGCAGCCAGGCAGGGCAGCCTAAATAATGGCAGACTATGACAGATGCCAGATGATAAGAATCATAGCAGTGCAGGGGCTGTTTGCCAAGCAGAGAGATACAAACCCAGCAATATTAGATATCCCTACAGACTGACTTACTTCTTGTTTGGTAGCTGGCAGTTTGCTGCCAAATAGATAATTATTTTACCTTTCTGACAATTTTCTGAAATGTTCAAAATACATTGTGTGTTGATTATTTGCCCCTGGCTGTTTGAAACCTGTGATTATTCTGACCACCAACAGTGCTGCTGTACCTTTAAATAGAACATAATCACTTGAACTGCAGTTTGTATATTGTCAAGCTTCTCTCTGGGTTAATCTATGTGTCATTGCTTTTGCTATCTTTCTGATGAAATTTGCCTAATAATATGTCTTTCAATCCTTAGGTTACTGATCCGCACCTTTGTTATACATGCAGGTAAAATAGATTAAATATATCAAATATCAGATACATGGACTCAATTATTTATCTAAATATAAGGACCTCTGATCAGTAACATTCTCTTTGGATTGGTCTTGTTTAAAAAGATGTGTTAAAACACAAACAAGGGCTGAATTTGATTACATTTTTATGGTTGCTTCTTGATGCCTTAACCCTAACAATATGCCATACAGTAAGAGAGAAAATTAGGACATCAGTGATTCTGAGTTTATGAAGAAAAAACTCAAAGGTTTCTTTGTGTAACTTGTTGTTACTTTTGGTTTAGTCAAGGCAAATCAATCTTACCTGAGTAATTAATATAATAAATGTTTTGCCAAATTAATTGTATTAGCAATGCATAGTCCAGATCTCAGTGTAGAATCTCTTTAGTATCATTTACCCAGATCAAAAGACATTCACTCTCGGCTTTGAAAAAATATGAATGTTCATGGCTTTTGTGACTTATCACTGCAAGTATTGGGTTAATTGGATTTCCCAGGGTCATGACCAGCTCGAAACGTGTCTTAGCACTTGATGTGATAAATGTGTTCAATAAAACACAGTTCTGTATGTTTTCAGCCCAGTAACCTTTGTAATATATTTGAATTGTATCTCAATACTTTGAACCTTCAAGGTTCAAGGTTCTTTATTTGTCATACGAACATAGCTATAGAGTAGTTATGTCGATGAAAATCTTAGGTCACAGGCTTCTCCAACAGTGTAACACAATAACACAGATAAACAGAAAAATATAGTGCAAGTAAATATTAAAAAATAAATACAAAAAGAAAAATAGTTTTAAAAAAGTGAAATAGTGAAATAAGAGTCTATGTGCAAGCTACTGGAATGATATATTACATAAATAGATAAATAATTACTAAGTAGCAGATGAATGTTATGGATGTTGTTTCAACAGTTCAGGTGTTTAACAGTCTTATTGCCTGTGGGATGAAACTGTCTCTGAGTCTGGTGGTTTTAGTCCTGATGCTGCGGTACCGCCTGCCAGACGGCAGCAGACTGAACAGTTTGTGGCTGGGGTGATGGGGGTCTTTTATAATCCTGAGGGATTTCTTCCTGAGCCGCTAGGAGTAAAGGTCCTCCATGGATGGCAGCTCCGTCCTGGTGATGTGCTCTGCAGTTTTCACCGCCCTCTGTAAAGCCTTACGATTGAGGGCGGTGCAGCTGCCGTACCAGGCCGTGATGCAGCCAGTCAGGATCCTCTCTATGGTGCACCTGTAGAAGGTCAGGACACTCTCTGTGGTGCACCTGTAGAAGGTCAGGATCCTCTCTATGGTGCACCTGTAGAAGTTGCAGAGTATCCTGGAATCCATTTTGAACCTCCTCAGCCTGCCCTGCGGAGGAAGAAGAGCCGCTGTCGAGCTGTTTTGGTGATGGTGGTGGTGTGAAGAGTCCATGTCAGGTCCTCAGTGATGTGGACACATAGGAACCTGAAGCTGCTGACTCTCTCCACCGTAGTCCCATTGATTGCGATGGGGGCGTGTCCCTCTCTCTGCTGCTTCCTGTAATCCACAATCAGCTCCTTTGTTTTGCTGATGTTAAGATGGAGGTTGTTATCCTGGCACCAAGATGTCAGGTTTTCCACCTCCTCTGTACGCCGTCTCGTAGCCGTCGGTGATCTGGCCGATGACGGTCGTGCCGTCAGGAAACTTCACGATGGTGTAGGAGCTGTGTGTGGACACGCAGTCGTGAGTGAACAGGGAGTAGAGGAAAGGGCTGAGCACGCAGCCTTGAGGGGCTCCGGCGTTGAGGATCAGGGTGGAGGATGTGATGTTTCCCACCCGCACTGCCTGGGGTGTGTCCGTCAGGAAGTTCAGGATCCATACATCCTCAAACAGAAGGCCATACAGCCTGAGGTCTAAATATAATCTACAGTTAACACTATTTCTTGTTATTTATTTTTATTTAATTGTTATCATCACTGATCACCCCGTGAGTATTATTATTTAGCTACAATACAACATTTTAATAAATTATTCCTTTTAATAAATTCAAATGATAGCAGACATTTTGTTTTTGTCGTCGGCCAATTTATCCCCAGTTATTACAATTGTATTATGACAGATTAGTAAACAATTTATGGGTCCATTTATCATTTTTCTTTGAACTATTGCCAAAGTGTGTTAAGCCCTTATATGGGTTTTCCATTTTGCCATTAGAATACTGTGTGCAGCCGCCTCTTATGATAAGCTGTTTACATGCAGGGCGCTGTCACTATAGAAGGTTATAATCTGATTCATGTGATCTAAAAATCTTTGTTTTCTATTTTCGTCATTTCATCAGCAGACATTCTTGGTCAAACCCTTCAGTGTATTTTTAAAATGACATGAACTATGTTGTGCTCTACTACCTTGTAAAGTTGCTGTGTGAAATTGATATTCTCCTTTTGATGGCATCATTGTACCTCATGATTGCGCCTTTTTACAGCTGTATTTCGGGGCAATAAAAGAAATACAGGACAGACGTCACATAAGCACAGCACACTCTGTTTCCTTCTTTATCCATGGTAATGGTTACCCTGGTGACAGCGTCCCTGTGGTTGCTGTGGAGACGCAGCAGCAGAAGCAGCCCTGCTGTCAGGCTGAATAAGGCAGTTGATTCACTGTTATCTCAAAAAGGTTCAGTCTCTGCATTGTTTCTTTTCATATAATGATTGTATGGTGGCCGACAGGTGCAAAAACGCCCAAAACATTCCATTAGGAGAAATTTGCAAAACGATGTAAATATAAAAACACAAATGCGCCAAAACATATGCAAATACAGAAACATCTTCACCCACTTGACAACACATACGCAGCATTTAGAAAACATTTGCCGACTTGACGAAAGATGTGCTGGGTTTACTAAAAGCACTGCAAATACAAAATGCTGCAAATATAGTCCGGCAGTGGCTCAGTCAGTTGGGGCTTGGACTGGGAGCCGTAGGGGTCGCTGGTTCAAGTCTCCGAATAGACCTAAATATGGAGTGTGGACTGCTACTTGGAGAGCTCCCAGTTCACCTCCTGCCCTGCCGTGATGCCCTTGAGCAAGGCCCCTCACTCCCATTTCTCCCCGGGCGCTGTACAATAGCTGCCCATTGCTCCTAGTAGGATGCAGAGAACACATTTCACTGTGTGTGCTGTCTTCATGTATGTGTGACAATTACAGAGGGTTTCATCCTCCGATTCTTCTTCTTTCATCCTCCGATTGTTCAAATGATAAAACTCTGCAAAAATCTCAAAACACAATGGAAACAGAGAAACTAAAAAGTGATGCACACAACTGGGACCGAAGCTTGGGGATTATAAAGTTAACATACTGTCCCTCACTCAGTTATTCTGTTTCATAATTGTAAGTGTTTTGTCAGTTTATTTGAAGTGTCCTGTTGGCCATCTCCAGTGAGGTAACAGTGAAACAGCTTGACACGGATATTGACAAAGCAATTATTATATATTTTGGGCTGAACACCCGGAATCCTTGATGTAAAAAGCTGTGAAAAATGACATTTCAGCTTGACATTTTCTGACTTTTTGTGTTCGCCCGCCCTGATACAAGTCCAAAGAGCACAAAGACAAAAATAAAGACGCACATAATTATCAGTCTAGCAGGGCATCAAGTTGGCTCAGTAGAATAAAACTTGATCTAACCAATTAAATATCTATTTTCTTCATAACGAGCTTTGTTCTGTGTAAGCCTTACATCAGCTATTCTTAAATGATGCCAACTTGCCAAGCAACATCAGTCCAACTGCAATGTGAAGTTCAAAGTAGATTCTATGTGACCTTCAAAGACATCATATCAAGTCCAGTTGAGTAATGTTTCAGCATATGTGGCTCATAACAATTAGATGCATGACTATTTATGTGCTAATTCTTTTCAAAAGGCATACATGAGAGAATTCAGTCATGTCGTTATAATCTACAAGTGTAATTTCCTCATGTTTCTCACCCCTTGGTACACTCTTTTAAAAAAAATTATTTGAGAATTATTGACGCTTTCATCCACCAGATGCCTGAATAATAAGTTCAGTCCTCCAGAATCTTCAGTGTAGATGGAGCCGATCACATTTGGTGCTTTATCTTGAATCATTAGCTATTGCAGGCATTCATCAGTCCACCTTGTCCGTACATGAAATCACTTGTGTGGAGGGGTCAAATCTTCGCATTGTGTCTATTTTCCCATTTAACATAACTATTAAACCTGAAACAGTTCCTTCCTTTTTTTTCACTGTTTAGATAAAAAGATGTTCTGTTGCAGTCAGTTCCCACACTGCGGAGTTGTTGTTGTCAGGCAGTTTTCCTCAAACTTTGGCAGTATCACAGAGTTATGTTGGCACACTTTGTCCTAACTCTAGCCACCACCATCACTTCAGAGAATAACAATTACAAACCATTTATTTCTGCCACACTGCTTGTATTAACCACAAAGAATGAGATAAATTACTAAAGAAAAATATTAACTACCAATTTCTCTTATTAATGGTGTGATCTCACACTTAATTCCTTTTACTTATTTAATCGTGCCTGCCATTCATCCAACATAACCCCAATTTTGAACATCCGTATGGAAATAGCTGATTATAGATTTTTTTCCCGTTCATTAGCAAACATTGATCCATTTACCTGACCATCCAAATTGTTTCCTATTACTTCATCCACACAAACAGATGGATGCCCTGAATAGATCCAGGAAATGGCCTCACTCTGTTGGACAAAACCAACTGGCTTGGGACCATCCTTACTCCCACTGAGTCTCGTAGCTCTTCTTGTATTACAGCGCTTTGACAGTTATCCAACCCACCCACTCTTACAACAAAGCCTTTGTGATTTTAAAGGAAAACATATTCAAACACTTTGTCACTGAGAAAAAAATCCTATCCCTCAGCCTACACTCTTTTCTTCAGAGGCCTTTATCACGTCATTGGACAGGTGGACCTTCATTTTCCCACTCTTATAGAAATAACCTTAACTCAAAGCTTGTCACCAATAATGAAAGTTAAACACATAGGCTCGAAGTGCATTTTTTTTATATTGTCTGTGAGTCAAATGACTGTTTACTCGAATAATTTGTCATTATGACATCACCATCTTGGTTTTTGGCAGGCTTAATCTTGTTTTGTTTTTTTAACCAGTAAAAACAATATTTAGACGACAGGCTGAGTACAACTGAAATCTGAACAAACATTTTCCAAGGGACCAAATTGTCAAAATTAACTTTAAAGCAACTGAAAATACACTGTGAAAGGTTAATCATCCTCAGACAACACACTAACCGGAGAACACTGTATTGCGGTGACCTGTCAATCACAAAGTAGCCTCACCCTTAGGCATTTCTTGATTTTACCTTAAATAATTGACATGATGCTGACATTTAGATATTATGCTGTATTGAAGAAGACTTGAAACTAGCAATTGAGACCATGAACTCATTAGGAGATTAAATGGCGAGTCATTAGGAAAATAAACATGGAGTCTGGTAATTTTCTCATAGACTTCTTTACAATCAGAATAGAAGTCTATGAGAAAATTATATTAAATTGAAATTCTCCGTCAGTTTCTCCTTGTTTTGAAATAAGACATAAAGCTATATACAAGTATATTAAAGTATACTTTGCAGCCCTAAGTGCTAGTTGGCTATGTATTAACATATTTTCTATTAGTTTCACTTCCCCTAAATCTTGTAATATGATGCCACAATTATGTTTCCACTTTTTATGTTACATCTTCTCAGGAGCTCGGTGGTTAGTGAGCCCAGCTCTCGGCACATTGTGTTCTCACATTCTGAGGCTGAAACAGTTTCTGCCAGTAGCTAAAACTAACACCACTATTTGGCATGGAGTAATGAGGTGGACATGAACTACAAAACTCTTCATCATTCTAAATAATTCCTCTGTACAGCAGCTTGATGATGTTGCTGTATCGAAAGAAACCTGCCCAGAACAGCTCTCAAATGGAAATTAGCATGTTTTATTTTTCATCTGGCCTGTTGGATGATTACTATATTGAAAAACTGCCACCAATTGGCTAGTTGGCAGATTCAACGAACCAGACTTTTCCCTCTGCGTTGCATGGAGCTGAGGACCAGCTGGCTCTGTACCATTGTCACATTTCCTAACCACCAGTCAGGGTGGCACTACGGATCAACTCTGTTTGGGAGGTATACCACAGGATCGAGGGGGGCAAAGCCATGGCTACAGACCATAAACATTCACGGTCATATCATCCAGCCACCTGGGAACGACTAATCTGAACACTACGAAAGCTGGTAGTGACCTGGCAAAGCTTTACATGCTTGTGTTGACATTTACAGAGATTCAGCGGGGCATCAGTGGTCACTATGCCAACTGGCGGGTATTATGGTCAATATATAACGTGATGTAAAATCCTCGTAAATGGCCAGTAGGGCTTTGTCCACCATTTCCATGTTCTGATTATCATAATCTACCAAAGCTGACACGGAAATAGACAAAAAAAATATACAAACTAGGTCAGTTCTGCTCTGATCCACACTCACCCTTCTTCAATCCACACTTTCTGTTCTACCAACCATCCATCCATGAAGTCCATATTTGTTCTCAGTGGAGGTTCTTCTATCCCAGCGTTTTATCAGAGGTCTGATGGTAGAGTCACATATGTTGCTCTCAGCCTGAGCAGATGGCTAGCTGCTGGAGGAGAAGACTCTCAAAACACTGCTAACAGCCATGCATACTGTGCAGGCCTTCCATCTATCCATTCATCCTTTCATTACTCCATTCAACCTGCATTATTAATGATAGCTGTCAACCCACATATGTTTATTATCTCAAATAACTATAGATTATCTAATAAGAGGCCCCATTATGGACCCAGTTAATGGTATGCATTTCTTATTATTAAAGTATTGGTTGAAACTGCTGGAAGAAATATTACTGGTAAAGTGTATAAGTGCACATGAGCAATCAAAGATGAAAGCGTAAAAATACATGACACAAAAAGTAAATAAATCATTAGAATAAATGTTAAAAAAAAGTCAAAGAGAGTATGATTTAAAAAGTCAAAGACCATCTTTGATTAATTCAAAGAGCTGAGCAAATTAGCTTTTGGCTCCTAAATTCCAACATCCCAAATGAAAAGAAGCATTACTAATCAGAATCAGAATCAGAATACCTTTATTAATCCCACAGAGGGGAAATTTGCAGCGTTACAGCAGGAAAAAGCCACAGACAGTTTAGTATTGCATATCTTAAATGCGTTAATAAAGTACTAAGTTATAATATAATAAAAAATATGCTAAAAAAGTACTAAGTTATAATATAATAAACAATATGCTAAAAAAAGATAAAAACTAAAAAAGTTGCATAATTTTACCCCCAAGGGTAACTTGGGGGAAGCAAAATAATAACGCTTTATCTCCATTAAGTTGGAGATATCCGATAGTCTCAGATCAAATGTAACACTCATTTAAAGTCATGTTTCTGTCTAGCTGACACATGTTAGTCCAATAATCACTGTCTTTTAGCTCCGTTTTGGTCTCAACTAACTCCTAAGGGAAAAAAACGTGTGGCATGGTAGTACAATTAGTATACCGAGGCTGTCTTTTTTAAAACGGCTTTCTGCCGATGCTAGAAACGAGGTTGATATGAGCAGAATGTGCGGGACAGAAAATCAAAACAAATCGCTAAAAGATGCTAAAATGGTCTGTAGAGCTATATAGAGATTTGCAGGTACAATTCTGAGTAGGATGATAACTTAATGAGACTGTTTCACATTTAATATAGCCCTTTGGTCCATTGTTTATATAAAAAATGATTAGTGGTGCTTTAATATCCCATTGAAGTGAAACATCAGAGTTTGTTTTGTTTTGTAATTCCACACATAGCCCCTATCCTATGGTTGTAGGACTTCTGCAGCAAGTCACACACTCTTTACTTTGACACTTTTTCTCGAAACAGTTAGATGTATGTTAGCAAAAGTGCTATCAGTATTTATTCCCAATGCAACACTAAACACGGAAAAGCTATTGCGTTTCCAGATAAGATAAATTGCTTCAAAAATGAAATATGACATGTCAATTAAGTTTAACAAGCTGTACTCAGGTATTTGCCACCACCATTTCTAACTGTGCCCTTCTCTAATCAAGCTTTGGATGGTGCCGCTAACAAACAACATAGACCCTGTGGAGGCTGACATATAAATGTTGATGACATTTATGATGTGACGCCCTATGACAGGAAACAGATTGCTTAGTGGTGGCTCTTAATAGCGGGGTAGCTAAGGCAGCTAAGCCCAGAGCTGGTTATGCTAAGCCTTTCTCGTTTAGAATCACTGTCTTTTAATTAAGCAATCCTCTGTAGAGACATAGAGAGCGTGGGAAGTGTGGGACCCACGCATACACTTAACAAGGATGAAATGAGTGTGTGCTCACAAAAATACTCTGCCTGGCACTCGCTTTCCACTTTCAATACTTAAAACAGAAGTCAGGCTCGAGTGACGCCAAACCTTTTAAATTCAGAACAAACGAGCAGATGCAATAAAGCGTGACACAGTGAGGAAGCCAGCGTGCCAGTTAGCCGGTCAGCAGTGTTTTTTTTTGTTTTTTTCATCTTTCAATCCCACTAAGGCAAGGTGCCTTTGAGACTGAACGTATTAGGCAGGATAATCGCCTCTGTCTGCCAAACCTTCAGGCTTTGTGGAGGCTACACACAAGATGAAGACAGTTCACAGAATGATGATAAAGGCCTGAGCTAAAGGCATTGACTGGATGCTATCTCTGCTGATCCATTACAAATGCATCTGACTACTTGCTGTGAAATGGAAAGAAATGACTCCATAAAACTGTCATTACTCACAGCGAACTTTGCTCGGAAAAACATAGTTCAGCCTCATCAGTATTATCTATAAGCTCAGAGGCTGAGTGGTTGTGTATGTTCTAGGAATAATAAATCCACAGGCTAGCATGGCTAACCTAACAGATCCGATTAGTATCTGTGAAATCACAGCTGATTAGGGGGTGCGTGTGTGTGTGTGTGTGTGTGTGTGTGTGTGTGTGTGTGTGTGTGTGTGTGTGTGTGTGTGTGTGTGTGTGTGTGTGTGTGCATATGTGTATGTGTCCTAATGTATACTGGAAAATCTAAATTAATTCCCTATGCTGTATCCTCTAAAACATAACTGACCTACTTTAGACATTATTACTATTTTTTCCACATTTTAAGACTTTTTATTTAATCCCTTTGGATAAATGTGTGTGAGGCGGATGAGAGAAAGAGAAAGAATATGCATATTTAAGCATTTGAGAGTGTGTATGCTCTCATGATGAGTGTGTGTTAGCAGAGCAGTTTTAAATCTCCTGGCCCTTGAACAGTTGTACGGGCACCCGGTACATTATGAGGACTAATGATTTGAAGGCTCCAGCTGTGTGTGCATGCATGTGTGTTTTGTGTGCATTGAAGACCAAATGTTAGATAAGATAGGAAATAACTACAATTGAAGTTATTGTATGCATGCACGATTAAAGAGTTATAACTAGCCCTGTGGCAAATATCTTTGTCAGTTTTTATCATATTTAGTCAACCTCATCCTGTCTTGTTTTTTTCTGTCAGGCCATTTGAATCTTATCTTACTCAAAGAAAAACATTAACTGTTTGACTAGTTTCCTCATGGAAACGTTCAACATTGTCTTCTTGTTTATTCATCAGATTATATTGAACATTTAAGTCAATCTAGTCTAGCCAACATTTCCTTTAACTAAGCCAGTTGCTTTCATTGTTAACTTTAACTTAAGTATATTACTCTTATTTAATGTGTCAATAGATAAATGACTATGCCAACAGTTTTGATAGCGTCTAAAGTCTAAAAATATCTACGAAGGGCACAAAACACAGGAGAAACGTGAGGCGCAAGAATCCGTTCCACTCTTTGTATGCATTTACCCTTTATACCTCCGCAAAATGGGCTCAAAGACCATTTGTACCACTCACCTAATTATTATGTTCTTTATGTGAGTGTAAGTGTGGTCAAAAGAACATGTCACTCACGGGCTAACCTCCACGATCTTTCAATGGCAGGAAGAAAAGAACAGATGAAAGCAGTCTGGTATAACTGTACCATCACCGCCAAAGCTCTAGTGAACACACACACGAACAATGACTGAAAACTAGGACACAATAAACATGAAAAATACAGAGACCTTACACTTGGTACCTAAAGTTTTAGTTTATGAAATGAACACCGGTAGGACAAATGATTCAAGGAGTGCTCATAATGTTCCTGCTGCCCAAATGAAACACTAACTCTGATTTTCCTGTATCCACTCCTTCCTCCACCTCCCTATCCCTCATGGTTCCTTTACAGCTGATGGAGGTCACCATGAGAAAGTGAGATGGGCTGTCCGGCCTCTGGACCCCGCAGTCCCCATCCCCTGGTCTGGAGTCAGAGCCGGGGCTAAAGACAAAGCTGTGATGGATGAGGGTAAAGTGTTTTCTGAGGCCGGAGCAGCAGTTTGGACTGAAACAGAAGCAGGAGTCCGTGTTGGGACAGATGGCAATATTTTCGCAGGGGCTAGAATTATGACAGGAACCTCGACTGAAGTTGGGGCTGAATGGAGTCCCACGGATGCTAAGGGGGGTGGTCTGCCAATGATGCCCAGGAACCTTGCAGCTTTTGTGGGGCCACAGAGCCTGCAGACACGTGGAGAGGGCCAGAGAGAGCAGGCAGCCCCTTCCATTCTGGCAGAGACACCAGTGCTAGGAAAACCTTTAGGACTGCTGTCTAAAGCTGCTTGGTCCAGAAGCTCCTCTTCATCCCCATCCAAGGCCTCCTCGTCCTCCTCCTCATCTGCAACAAAAACATCCTCTTTGCCATCCTCCTCCTCTGCAGCCAGCAAAACAGAGAGTGAGACGGCAAGATCAGAGAATGTCTCTCTGGTTGGTGTCAACAGTAACTCCTCCAGCAGCAACAGCAGCTCCACTTCAGGTACAGTGCGCGATTGTTCTATCATCTCAACTTTACATTGTCATTAATCATTTGCTTAAGCCTTATCACATGCAGCAATCTTTGTTTAACAATACCAAGCCTGTCAAGATCTGATTTCTTCACATACTGATACAAATGTGCATAGGGCTTTAGACAAAGCTTTACTTTTAATTTAAAGATTTTGGAGGGTCTTGTTTATTTCTCAGCCTTTATAAACCCCAAAAAACCATAGCAACATCGTAAGTGATGGATCAAGCAGTGTTTAGCATTAAAGCATTCTGGGATAAGAGGGAATGCGAATCTCTCTCTAAAGGCAAGGCATTGCAAGGCAAGGGAAGTTTATTTACAGTATATAGCACCTTTCAACGCAAGGCAATTCAAGGTGCTTTACAAAAATGAAAGACATTCAGACAAAGGCATTTAAAAACAGTCATTAAAAAGAAAAGATAATAAAAGAAACATTAAAAGAAAAAATACATGAATAAAAAGTACATGAATAAAAAAGTACATGAATAAAAAGTTACAGTGCAGTTTAAGATATGAATAGTTCACACAGAAGTTCCACTTTACTAATGAACACAACGGCTCAGTTTCAATTAAAAGCAGCGACAAAAAGAAAAAGTCTTCAGCCTGGATTTAAAAGTAGTAAGAGTTGCAGCGGACCTGCAGGTTTCTGGGAGTTTGTTCCAGATATTTGGAGCATAATAACTAAACGCTGCTTTTCCATGTTTAGTTCTGACTCTGGGGACAGAAAGCTGACCAGTCCCTGAAGACCTGAGAGATCTGNGGTAGAGGAGCTTGACGCTCGTGAACTATCAGCAGGAGGGCGGGGGAGCCTCGCTGCGGGGAAGCAGTGTGTGGACCTGTCAGCGCAACTTACATGATGCCGAATTTAACAAACGCATTTAAATAATTGGTTTAAACGGCATAATAATAAGGACGATCGTCCGTTCTGTGATTCTCCAGAACACACATGTTATGAGATGGCACAGTCCGCCGTGTAAGCATATTATATTAGATGAAGAGTGAGCAGATCGCAACGGCCCGGCCGCCCGGCGGAGCACCAAAAAAAGTTTTCTTTTTTTTTTTCTTTTGCCCGTGGGGGGGCTGTTTTTCGTTGGTCCCCCCTTTTTAAGTTCTTTGAAAAGGCCCCAAGGGTGGGCCCCCGATTTCACTTGGCCCCCTTTCCCATCCTTTTCCTTCATCTAAAAATTAAATAATGCTCCAACAAACCCGGCCGGGGACCTGGGCCAATTTGGGTGGCTGGTTTCCCCCCCCCCTTTTTTTGGGAAGAAATCAACAAGAAAACCCGAAACACCCCCGAATGTTTTCGCCCCCCTTCTTGATTGTGTTTTTTTTTTTTTTTAATGCCCCCCCCCCCCCCCCCCGTTTTTTTCAAACCCCCCCCCAAAAACCCCCAAAATTTTATTTTTTAAAACTGTGTCGTTTTTTTTTTTAAATTTCCCCCCGCCCCCATCCAAAAAAATGTTAAAGTTTTTTTTTTTGGCCGCTGGAAACCCAAAAGGTTCCACAACCAACTGGCCCTTTTTTTTTTACCCCCCCTCCCAAGCCGGAGGCCTTTTTTTTTTTTTCCCCGCCCCCCTCCCCCTGTTTGACAGTTTTCCAAACGAGCCCCGTTCCCGAGCCTCCCCCGCCACCCCCCCTTTCCCCCCTCCCCCCGTTTTTGATAAAAAATTTCCCCCACCGGGGATGTTTCGTCCGGCCAACCCCCCCCCACTTGGGGTAAAAAAAAAAAAAAAAAACAGCAAAATTTTTTTTTTTTCTTTTTTTTTTTTTTTTTTTTATAATTGGGGCCACCCGTTTTTTTCCCAAAATTATCAAAAAAAAAAGGGGGTTTTGGCCCCCCGAAGCCCCCCCCTGGGGGTTTTTTAAAAAAAACCCCAACACAGGGAAAAAATTTATGAAGGAACCCCTTTCTAAAAAGCTTTAATTGGGGGGAAAAAATTTAGATTTTTTTTGAACACTCCCAAACGAAAAATTTTGTTTGAAATTTTGTAAAAAGAGGCCCGCCCCCCCCCCTTAGGGGTTTTTTTTTTTTTTTTTTTTTGGTCCCCCCCCCCAATGCAATTTTTTTAAATGAAAAAAATGTTTGGTGGGGGAAAATAAAATTTTCCCCCCCAAACACCAAACCCATCAAAAAAAGGAGAATTTTTTTTTGTTTTTTTGACCAAGGGAGAAACCTGGTATTGGTAAAATCCGGGGAACCGCCCCCCCCCCATAAACGGCAACAGGGACCCCCTACCCCTTTTTTTTTGATGGGTTGGGGAACAAAATAGAGAATATATATAAAGAATAATAATATATCAATGGTTGGGGAATTACCAATTCCCCCCCCATCCGCAAGATTTAAAATCTTTTGCCCCCCATAAACAATGGGGGCAAAACAATGAAAAATTTAATTCCCCCAAATTAAGCCGGTTTTTTTTTTTTTTTCCCAAGAAACCAAATTGGAAGGGGCCCTTTTTTTTAAATGTTAGAAAAAAGGTCGGGGAATAGCCCCCGCAAAAGGTTTTTTTTTCCCCAAAAAAAATTCCAATCGATTTTTTGGGGAAAAACCATGGAATGTTTTTGGTTAACCCAAAATTTTTGGGTCCACCCCCCCCAAAAAAAAAATTAGAAGAGAAGGTAAAAAAAGGTTCTTTTTTTTTTTTTTACAAGGGTTTTGTTTTTTTTTTCCCCCCCCACCCTCCAAGGGCAACCAAAGGGATGGGGTCAACAACATTTTTTTGGAGGCGGGGGAAAGGCCAGAAGGAAAAAAAAAAAACCAAAAAGGATTCCCCCCCCCCAAAAAAGTTCCCCCCAGTGGAGAAAAATTTCTTTTCCCCCAACCCTTGGGGGGGCCCCCCCCCCCCCCCCCATCAAAAATCCTTTTTCTGGTAACCCCCAACAAAATTTTCCCCCAAAATGGACCCCAGAAAAAAATGCTTTTTTCTTATTCTCCCCCCAAATAATTTTTTGGCTTCGAGAAAAATGGGTTTTTTTTTTTTTTTCCCCCGTTCCTGAAAAAAAACCCAAAAAAAAAAATAGTTGGGGGGGAAACCTGAAAAACAAAGGATCGAAACCCCCATAAACCCCTGAAGGAAAGCACCCCATGGGGTTTTTTTTTTTTTTTTTTCTTGAAAAGGAAAAATTCCGCAATTTTTTATAAATTTTCCCCTCTTGACTTTTTTTGGAAAAAAAAAGGCGTCCCTTTTTCCAAAAAATTCCCAAGCCCCAACCTCCCTTTTGGCCCTTTTTAAGTAAGGCCCAACCCCCCCCAGGCCCAACCCCAACCCACTTTTTCCCTACAAACCCCCCCTTTTCCCCCCCAAGTTTTTTTGAAAAACTTTTTCATTTTTTTTTTTTTTTCCCCTGGTTTTTGGGAAGCCCCCTTCAAGGCCCTTAAAGAATTTAAGCCCCCCTTCTAAATCCAATCAATTTGTTTTTTTTGGGGTTTTTTTTTTTTTTTTTTCTAAAAACTTTTTTAAAAAAAGGCCCCCTTCCCCCCCCTTCCCCAGAAGTCCACCAGAGGGGGAAAAAAAACCATTTGGTACAAAGCGCGTTTTTTTTGTTAACTGGCCCCCCTTTTTTTTTTTTTCAAAACTCCAGTACCCCTCAAACCATTGAAAGGGTTTTTTTAACAAAGAAGTACCTTTCCCCTTTTTCAAAAAAAGACAACTTGGGGGGGGTTGGGGGGGAATGGGGGGGGTTTTTTTTTTTACCCCCTAAGAAAACAATTTTGGCCAGCCAAGGTTTTTTAACAGAAAGGTGGGTAAAAAAATTCAAAATTAAATAAAATAAAATTTCTGGGTAAAAAAAAGCCCATTCCCAAATCTTGGTTTTTTTAACTTCCCCCCCCAGTTTTTTAATTGGGCCCCCCCCCTCCCCCCAAAAGACAGAAACCCGGCGGTTTGGAAACCAAGGCGTAATATTGTGGTTTCAAATTAATGCTTTTTTTTGTGGGGTTTTTAAAACCAAAAATTTCTAAATGGTTTTTTTTTGGGTCCCCCGACTCAATGCCCGAATTGTGTGTAAAATGGAAAAAAATACATTTTTTTTTCCCCCCTGGGGGGGGGGGGTTTTTAATTGCAAGTTTTTTTTTTGAATAGAGAAAAAAAAGCATAGGATTGGGAAGCCCTCCCTAGGCCCTATCCCAGGGGAAAAAATACCCCCCAAATTTTTTAGGCCCCAATTTGGCCAAGCCTTTTTTTTTTTTTTATTATTTGGGCCCCCCCCCCCTTTTTTAAGAAATAATGTAAAGTTCCCCCCGGCAAAAAACTTTTTTTTCCCAAAAAACAGAGGGGGATTTGAAAAATTTTTTTTAATTAAAAAAAGAAGGGTTTTTTTTTTTTTTGGGGGTTGGGGTGGGGTAAAACGAAACAAAAAATGATGTCCCCCGAACCAGGGAGGAAAAATTTGAAAAAGGCCTTAAAAAAGGTTTTTGGGGGCCCCAAAAATACAATGGTTCCCAAAAGGGAAATGGGTAAGTTTGCCCTTGGGCATGTGTCCCCTTTTTTTTTTTTTTTTTGTAAATGCCCCACCGGCTGAACCCCCCCCCGGGATGCTTTTACAATGCTAAATTAAAAACCACCTTTTTCTTTCACCCCAGTTTTCCCCCCCCCCCTTTCCCCCAAACCTTCGAGGCCTTTTTGGTCCCTTTGCTTCCCCAGTTATAAAAATGTCGATTCCCTAAAAGACCAGCGAGGCCGCTTTTTTCCGCCTCCCTGTTGAAGCGGGGTCTGGTCTTCTCCCCCCAAACCTTGGTTGGGGGGGGGGGACCAGCCTTTCCTACAACTTCCTGAGGAATATTTTAAATAAGGAAAAATTTTCAAAGGAAGAGATTACAGAATTAATTGCCCGCTTTTTGCCCAGTAGTGTTTTTATGCGGAGGAAAAAATTTTTGACAACTCAAAAAATAAGTGTTAAAGTTTTTTTTCCCCCAACAAAACCACTCTGAGGCCTCGCACAATACTCAAAAGGGTAAAAAAAGAAAAATGGGAAAAGTTCCAAAAGCCCATTTTGTTTAAAACATTCAGAGATTTTTCAAAATATAAAGATCCAATTTATTCTGTGGAAAATGCCACCAATTCTTGTTGCCCTGCAGTGGGGTTGGGGATTGTTTTTATGTTTTTTAAGCATTGGTAGGAGAGGTTTTTTGGCCTTTGTTCCAACGGGAAAGAAACATGCAAAAATCCCTTTTCCCTTTGGGATTCAAAGGCCCTTAACTGGGCTGCCACATGAAAAAAATTATTTTTTGAAAAATGCCCCCTTGGTTTTTTGTAATTACTACAATCTTTTAGTTTTTTTCAAATTTAACGACGTGGCTTTCGCGCGAAAATTTAAAAAAGAGATTTTTAATATATCAACAATATTTTGTGTTTTTTTTTTTTTTTTGAAACAAAATTTTAACTGGTTTTGGACAATTTGACAAATTATTTGTCAGGGTTTGACCACATCCAAATATTTTTTAAATTTATATTTCTTTTTTTTTTTTTTTAAAAAATGTTTTTTTAAATGACATTCGAACCAAAAGCTTTTTTTTTTTAAGGCAAAACAATAGAAACGAGGTCTCCCCCTATTAAAATTTGTTAAGAAACCCAATATTTTTTTTTTTTTTTTTTTATTTATAAACTAAGGAAACTTTATTTCGGTTGGTAAATCC